TCATCATGTTTGCTTCAGATTCCCCTCTTAATTAAACTTCTTATTTTGAGATAATTGTAGATCTACATGAAGTCTAGCTCAGAGATCCCCTATAAACTTTACAAATTTCCCCCCAATGGTAATATCATTTTTTTATTAAAGTAGCATTGCTCTATAGCATTATCTTAGTTTCAAGTGTGTGTCCTTAAAAATCAATATGTATATATTTTGGTTACACCTTGCAGAGCTATAACACAATGTTACTACCAACATATCTATATTGATGTAGGAAACACCCTCAGATTCCTTTCAGCGGGTCTTATAGCCACATTAACCTCTTTTCCATTATCACCATGGACTTGAAACCTGGAGACCACTGTTCTCCATTTCCATACTTCCATTATTTCACAAATAAGTAACCATTTACATACACTGTTAACCTTTGGGATCTGCTTCTTCAATAGGTCTAGTCTCTGAAGTCCTGTTTATTATTAGGCTGTGAACATTCATGTAGGTTTTTGTGTGAACATAAGTCTTCATTTCTTTGGGTTAAATGCCCAGGAATACAATTGCTAGATCATAGTTTCACATTTGATTTTTTAAGAAGTTGCCAAATTGTTTTCCAGAGAGACTGTACCATATGAGATTTCCACCAGTGGTGGGCGAATGTTAACTTTCTCTGCGTCTTTGCCAGCACCTTGTACTCTCACTGATTTTTAATTCCACCGTGCCGATAGGTAGTTACTGACATCTCATCCAGGTTTTGATTTGCATTCCACTAGTGACCGGTGATGTTGAACATCTTTTTATATGCTTATTTGTCGTGGGTATCCTCTTTGGTGAAAGGTTTCTTCAAATCTTTTGCTCATTCTCTAATTGGATTATTTTCTGTCTGTTTTATTCTTGAGGAAGATTTTTATATACCCCATCTACCAATTTTTTTTAAGATTTATTTTTAATTATTTATGCATATAAGAACTGGGGTGGAGGTTGGAGGTATGGAGGTGGGAGTGGAGGATTCACCAGAAACAGAGTGGGGAGCAGAACAGGCAGATCTCCTGAAATACACTGCTGAGGGGAGCCGCGGGTGAGACAGGCGGGGTCTGCTGCATGTGTGTAGCTACTGGCTGGGGATCGAACCCAAACTGCAGCCATGGTAGATAACATGATATAATAGACAGGGTGATATGACAGATAGCATGATAATGCTGAGACTTAACCCCAATGCCATCAGGAGGACCCCTGTCTGCCAATTGTGGTTAATAAACATTTTCTCCTTTTCTGTAGCTTGTCTTTTCATCCTCTTAACAGGTTCTTCATAGCTCTGTGTTTTACACTGTGTGCAGGATTAATTTGGGGTCAACATTTTAATGATCTGAGACTTAGGGTGGGATTTGAATGTTTACCCAGGGACGGTTGTTCCTGTTGTTAAAAATTCTGTATTTCCTCCATTGAATTGTTTTGCACTTTTGTCAGACATCAGTTGGGCATATTTATTTATGTATGTCTGTTTCTGGGTTATTCTGTTCCACTGATCTCTGTGTTTAAGCTCCCACAAATCCCATTTTTGCAGCTACTATTGCAGCTATTGCAGCTACTCTTGCAGCTACACAAGACTTAAAATCAGACAGGCTGTCTCCTCCCATTTTATTCTTTTTCAAAATCTCTTTAACTATCCTTATTCCTTTCCCTTTCTGTATCAATTTTAGAATAAACTTGCCTGCATCTACAACAACCTGGGATTTTAATAGGAATTGTGTCCAAAACTTATATAAATTTAGTGAGAAATCACATCATCATTCTGTTTAATATACCAATCAGCAAACTGTGTCTTTCAATTTATATAGAACTTTTATTTCCTTGATTAGCATTGTGTAGTTCTCCGCTTACAAGTACTATATGCATTTTATTGGATTTGCACCTAAGTATTTCATTCCTTAGCATCATTGTGAATGGCATTGTATTTTTGATCTTATTGTCCACATACTCATTAATCACTATAGAAATACAATCGATTGTTGTAAGTTTACCTTGTACCCTAAGAACTTGCTAAACTCACTAGTTCTGGGAGGGGTTTTTGCTTGTTTGTTTTCCCCTTGGAATTTTCTATATAAATAATTATATAATCTTCATGGAGACAAATTTCAATGTTACGTTTCCATTTTCATTCAGGTAAATATGCTTCAATTCAATTTCAGTTCCCCTTGAGACTTCCTCTTGCCCCATGGATTATTTTGCAATGTATTGCTTTGTCTCTAAGCATTTAGAGATTTTCATTTTACATTTCTATTTTTAATTTCTAGTTTGATTCCATTGTGGTCGGAAAAAGTGCTATATTTCTATTTTTTCAGTTTTTTGAGACCTGTTTTGTGGCCCAGGATATGATCAGTCTCGGTGTATGTTCCATTGGCACTTGGAAAGAATGTGTATTGTGGTGGTTTTAGATGGAGTGTTCTATAAATGTCAGAGAGATCCTGTTTATTACAGCTACTGGATTCTACACCATTTTTGATTTTCTGTTTAGTTTTATCAATTGTTGAGAAAAATTGGTGTGAAATTCTCCAAACTACAATTATGTATTTGTCTTTTCCCTCCTTTTTGCTTCACATATTTTTGCAACTCTTCTGTTTGTTTTGAACACTTCTAGGATTGCTATGTCTTCTTGGTGAACTGGCCCTTTTAAAATCCTAATATCATGCCTTTCTTCTGGTGATTTTTATTTGCTCTGATGTCTACTTAATCTGATGTTGCTATAGCCATTATTGCTTAGCTTTGACTAATGTTGGTATGATCTATCTTTTCCCATCCTTTTGCTTGCTATATTTATATCATTTTATTTGAAATAAGTTTCTTGTAAAGGCATATAGTTGGGTCACATTTCTTAATCCAACCTGCAAATCTCTCTTTAAGTTTAGACCACTGATTGATATATTAGGACTGAAGTATGACAGTTAGTTGTTGTTTTCTATTTGTTCTGTGTGTGTGTGTTTCTGGGGTTTTTTTTGTTTGTTTGTTTGCTTGTCTTGTCATTTTCTGGGCTACCTGAACATTTCTTAGAATTCCATTTTGATTTACCTGTTTTTTGATTGTCTCGGTTTATCCTTTTTAGTTTCTGTAGGTATAGACACATAACTTCTTATAGTCATTTATTTATACTCCCTGGTTATAACTTTATTATCTTAAATATTTCCTCTATACAATGAGAACCACATGAGAAAGTATTATAATTTGGCCTCATAGGATAACATAATGTACAAAATTCAAGAGAAAGAAAGCCTATTTATTATATTTACCTGTGATATGTTGACAACATTCTTTTTTGTTTCCTTAAGTTCCTCCCTGTTGAGAAAACCTCTTTTCATCATTCCCTTAAAGCAGTTGTGCTGGCTGTCACTTCTTTTATCTTTCCTTCATCTGTGAATGCATTGATTGTTAAAAGACTATTTTGACTGTATATAGGAATCTGAGTTGCCAAATATTGTCTTTCAACATTTAAAAATTATTGAGCTAATTCTAATTGTTTATATTTGTTTTAAATTCCCTTGCCATAGGCATGCATCTTCATGTCATTGATATCACAGAATTGATATCACCAATGTTTTCAATGTATTTTGTTTTTTTTGTCTATCTCATGTCTAAATCTTTAATCCATTTGAAGTTTATTCTTGTGTGTGGCATTAGCCAGCCATCCAACTTCATTCTCTTATGTATAATTTTTCAGTTTTCCCAGCACCATTTATTAAAGAGACTTTTCCCCATTTTATGACAATGGCTGCTTTATCATAGATTAGGTGCTGGTATGTATGTGGTTTTGTTTCTGGGCTTTCAATTCTGTTCCATTGGTCCATGTATCTATTTTTGTGCCCAAACCATATTGTTTTTCATACTTTTGCTTTGCAATAAAGTTTGAAGTCAGGTAATATGATTCCTCCATTTCTCTCTTTTTTTCCTCAGTTTATTTTGCAATTCTAAGGCCTTTGGTGGTTCCATATAAATTTCATTAATTTTTGGTTAAGTTTACTTGAAAAAATATTGCTGGCATTTTGATGGGGTTTACATTTAATTTGTATATCATTTTGGGCAACATAGACATTTTGCTGGTGTGGTTCTCCCCATCAGTGAGCGTAGGATTTCCTTCTATCTCTTTTTATCACTAAGTCCTTCAATAATATCTTCTAGTTCTTGTCTTTTTAGGTTGATTCTGAGGTACTTAATTCTTTTTGAAGCAATCATGAATGGAATTCACTTTTTAATTTCTTCTGCTTCTTGTTTGTTTTCTGGATGTAAAAATACGTAAAAATCTATCTAAAATATAGATCTATATTTTAGATAGATTTTTACATATGTTGACTTTGCAAACTGCCACTTTGCTATTTTCATTTATTGTGACTAATAACTTTTTTGATGAAGTCTCTAGGTTCCTGTATAGATAATATCATATCATCTGCAAATGGTGACAGTTTTACTTCTTCTTTCTTGACTTGGAGTCCTTATTTACTGTGTGTGTCTGATAGCTCTGGCTAAAATCTCTAGTACTAAGTTAAACAGAAGTGGTGGCAATGTGTATCCTTGTGTTGTTCTGATTTTAAGGAGTTTTCCATGTTTTACCATTGAGTATGACACTGACTGTTGGTTGGTGAATGTGCCCTTCATTATGTTGAAGTTGGTTCTTTCTATTCCCATCTTCTTTGCAGTTTTCAGTGATTTTTTTGTAAAGATTTATTTATTTATGCATACAAGAACCGGGGTACAGGCCAGATGTGCAGGAGGGTGAGAGAATCCACCAGAGACAGAGTGGGGAGCAGAACAGGCAGACTGACTGAAATATACTGCTGAAGCGCGCAGCGGCTGAGACAGGAGAAATCTGCTACACCATGTGTGTATCTCCCTGGCCGGCTGGAATCGAACCTGCGCTGCAGAGGCTGTGGACAGCTCCACAGCGCTGCACTCAACTGCCTGCACCACCAGGGAGGCCCTTCAGTGATTATTTCTTTTAATAAATTTTCTGTCTTCCCCTTTCTCTTCTTGGAACCCTATGATATGGATGTTATTTCACTGTAAGTCATCCCCGAGGCCTCTTACACTAGTTTCAATTTTTTATTCTTGTTTTCCCTCTATATTACATTCATATGTTCTCCAAGATTGCATTTTCAAGCTCCTTTATTCTCCCCATGCTTCTGCTGTCTGCTGTCTTCTGCTCTCAACTGCATTTTTTTTTTTAATTAGCCATAGTGTTTCTTGGTTCCATTATTTCTAATTATAGCTGTCTCATATCATTCCTTATCTTTATTCTGTGGTTGTTTTATATCCTCCATTTTTTTTCTGAGTTCGGTAAGCATTCTCAGACTGTTGCCCTGAATTCCTATTCTGTTTTGCTCTTCAACACTGCTGAGCGAGGGCTCCTTTCAGTGATTATTTTTGTTCTGGCATTTGTGATGTGTTCTTCTATCTCTTCATTGTAAATTTTTAATGGGTTTTAATAGAGGTAGATTTTTGGACTGTTGTTTGCACCTGTTGAAGTAATCTGAGGACTAGTACCAGTGAGAGGCAATAGTTAAAGAAGAGTATGGGCTGTATGGCACCCAAGCATCACCTCCAGCAGATCCAGGAATTTGAACTTCCTGCTGTACAGTGGGTGCCGCAGTTGTGGGGTGGGATCCACAGAGATCCCCTCCCCTAGATCAGCTCCTCAGATTTAATGTCTCTTATTTAGTCTTGTGTCCACTTCTACTCTAGGTGGTTTTTAAGTACGAGATGAAGCACGGGACACAGATTATAGTTGCTAGGTGGTCACAGGCTGGGGGGTGTCCTCTTTTCATTTCCAGCACAGAGTATAATCCTGGGGTGTTTGCTCCTGATAATTAGTGGGTACTGGAGCTCTAGTTTCTTCAAACAGTTCTTTATTTTGGCTTTAGCCCTGGGGTGGAAAGTGGTAGGCATTTTCAATATGTCAGCCCGAACTTTGAGTAGTAGCCTCTTCCAGAAGGAAACCCAGTTGGTCTGACCTAATCCAAGCTACATCTGTCAGAGCCTCAGCTCAATTCAGTGGTCCTCATTCTGTACCCCTACCCCTGCATCTCTCCAACAGTGCTTCTTCCATCCTAGATGTCTGCTGGAGCACCCCCTTATCCAGGGCAGTGCTGGGCAGTGTTGGCATGTGCCCGAGTCTATAACTGTAGAGGGTTCTGCACAGCAGCCTCTCCTCCGTCTTGTGAGTTTAGTGTCCTGTTATCCTTGTAAACGAAAAGTTTTTCCTACTCCTCTCCACGCAGACCAAAGCTCTAGTGTGTGCTGTCATCATCTGTTTTTCCTTTGGGGTTTTTGTTGTTGTTGTTGGCTTTGTTTTACAGTGAGTATCTGGAAGATGTGAGCCCAGGGTCCTGACTCTGCTGCCATCTTGCTGACTCTTGTTCACTGATGTGCAATGCATTTTCTCCCTGTTCAGATTTTGTAATCTCTCTTTTTTATCTACCAGTTCACTGATTCTTTCCTCTGACCTCTCCATTCTGCTATTAAACCCATGCACTAGGTTATTCTAAAAGTTTAGCATTGTATTTTTTCAGTTCTGAAGCATTCATTTATTCTCATGTATCCTGACTCAGAAATTTTTTTTCCTTTGTTGAGGCTTTCGACCTTTTTTGTTACAAGGGTGTTAGTCCTTGCAGCTTGTTGTTTGGTATGATGGAAAGTTTTTGATTGTATTTTTTCATATTATGTTATGAGATTCTGGATCTTATTTAAACCTCCTATTTAAGCAGCTTGCTGTGGCACTGCTAGGCAAGGGAAGGGGGCTGTCACTTCACTACTTCAGGTGGAGCTGGCTTTCCAGGTTCCCTGCTTGGTCTCCACTAACCCCTATGGGACATGTGGCTCCTTGTTACTGCTGCTCAAAGGTAGGAGTCCTGTCCCCCTCCTGGCCTCCACTGACACTTCACAGGATGGTGGTACACGTGGGCCAGTTGCAGTTTCCTGCTTGGTGTCTTCAGACACCACCCCAGTGGGGTGCTAGGGCATGTTGCTACACTACCAATTTTTCCTGGTCTTTTGCCTAGAGTGAGAAGGCTTTTTTAGAGGTTTTTTTTTTTATGTGCCTGTTGGGATTTTCAGTTGCCATTTTAGGCATTTAGGTTGCCAATTCCAAGTCCAGATTATGTATGAGACCAAGAAATCCCACTGAAACACACCAATATGTCATTCCTTGGGCCCTGAGATTCTGAGTTGGTCTGACCTTTTTCATTCCCCTTTTTGGAATCTTCTTGTGTTTATTTTACATACAATGTCCAGGCTTCATAGCTGCGCTCTGTGAGAGGAATAGGAAAAATTACATGTACTCATAACTCTTAGATTTCATTATTTTTAAGGAAATAAAATATTATAGTTACTATTGAAGTTTCTTTACAAAGTTTACCCAAACCTATGGTTCTCTATCACATTTGCTTTTATTTTCAAGTAGTGTTTTTCTGTGGTTTAATAATTTACAGGTCAACTCTTATATGTCCTCTCTTATACATGTCTCTTAGACCTAAATATAAGACTTAAGGCTATAACCCTTTTTGTTTTTGTTTTTGTTTTTTAAAAGATTTATCTATTTATGCACACAAGAGCTGGGGCACAGGCCAGAAGTGTGGGGTGGGGGTGAGAGGATTCACCAGAGACAGAGTGGGGAACAGAACAGACAGAATGACTGAGGCACACCGCCGAGGGGAGCAGCGGGTGAGTCAGGAGAGGTCTGCTGCGCCATGTGGGTTGCTCCCTGGCCAGCTGGGAATCGAAATCATGCTGCAGATTCTGCGGACAGCTTCATAGGCCACGTCCCAACCCCTGCACCACCAGGGAGGCCCAAGGCTATAACCCTTCTTGAAGACAGCAAAGGTTAGTCAAAGTATTCTTAGGTAGGATGCAAATAGCAATGGTCTATATTAAAAAATTAATAAATTGGACTTTATTGACATTAAGAGTTTTTTCTCTGGGAAAGATACCTTTAAGAAAGTGAAAAGAAAAAGGAGAGTGTTTGCAAATCACATATATGACAAATTATAGATGATTGTTGGCCAGAGCATTAATGGGTCTGGGGAATAGGGTGAGGTTTAACCACCTAAAGGTAGCAAAAGTGAATTTGGGAATCTGTGTGATGAAATTATTCCGTATCTTGATTTTGGTGATGGTAAAATTACACTTTTGTCAAACTGTAGAATTACACATCATAAAGTGATTTTAATATATGCTACTAAAAAGTAGAGAAAAAATTTACATGAATGCCATCATGCTTTACACATCCTTCTGCAAATTTCTAATTCATTCAACATTTTTAAAATTTTCAGATCTATCCATGTCTTGGAAAATTTTCAATAGGTGAAAGGATGATCCAAATGGAGGCACTATTAGGAACAAAGGCTTAGAATTGATATGACCCTGGAGTCATCTAGACACTCAGTTCTAAAATGGAAAATGTCATTAAATGAAGCAGGTTCCAGATGATCCCCTGGGGAGCATCACTTTGGCATGAAGGTTGACAGAGGTTATCCATCACAGGCCATTGACTCTGACCTTCAAGGCTGTTATTTTCAAAAGGTGAATTCTTCCAGGGACCTCAGCTATACCAACATCAAGTGAAAAACAAGAGAGAAACTCATCTCTACATTCTCTCTAATTTGTTTCTGTCCAATCCTGTAAGAATCAAATTACTTACACAAAAAGGTAGGCTCTCATCCCCTTCTATCACCTAAAGAGTTGGCAAGTCATTCAACTACCACTGACCCTAGAACAACATAGTTTGAACAGCACAATTCCACTTATAATGTGGGCTTTTTTTTCAATAAATACACAGTTGACCCTTGAGCCCCTACAGCCAAAAATACTATAAATGTATTTTCTTTTCCTTGTGAATTTCTTAATAACATTTTCTTTTCTCTAGCTTGCTTTATTGTAACTACACACAACATACAAACTATGTATTAACCGATTGCTTATCCTATCAGTAAGACTTCTGGTCAACAGCACAGAATTAGCAGTTAAATATGGGGAGTGAAAAGTTATATGCAGATGTTCAATTGCACAGGAACTTGTCACTACTAACCTCCGAGTTACCCCAGGGTCTATTCAACTCATAGTTGTTTTGCTCTTCCATAAGAAGTTGCATTGTGCTAGATTATTTAAAATTTTTTTCTACATTTAAAAGACCATACGATACTTACTAATCAGCCTCTGAAGCATTCACTTGTCACCTGTCTCAGGCAGGGCTTTATCTAGGTGCTCTGTATACAAATCGGAATAAGGAGTTTCCAATTTGGTGGAGGCAACAGCCACAGAACTCAGCATTGGTGAAGACCTTGGAGAGGCCCAATGAGAGAAACTTTCACAGCCAATGCAGGGGCAGGGGAAGGTTGAGAAGGACAAGATTGCAAAATAAGAGCTAGACACCCCCTGGATTCATCATGGCTTCTCTGTCCAACACATGTGATTTTGTTTGAGAAAGAATAGGAAGCCATTCCTCTACTTCCCTGGCCTGTCTGTGGATGTAAATGAATAGGAAGTTATGGAATCTCGGTCAGATGAAACACTTAAGTCTCTATCCTCTCACATCTTCATTGCTTATTTTACAAAACATAAAATGTAAGCCTCTGAAACTGGAGGGCCTAGTGTTACAGTAAATGTGAATCTCTAAAAGCTTTCCTGGTGATGAGTAAGCATTTAGAATTTGGTCTCTTTTTGTTTTTAGTTTGTTTTTAAGTGGTAACAGCCTAGCTTTGAGAAATGCGTGTAGCACATTTTCCCACACTTCTTCCAAAGAAACAACAAAATAAATGAATATTCTAAAGGATGATTTTAGAGAGTGAACATAATTCCTGCCCACATGATTTGATGCCAGGATGTTCATTTAAAAACAGTTAACCTAGAAATTTAAATGACAAGGAAATTTATTGTGGTAGGAAGTGAATGACCCATTAAACTAATACAATTTCACACGTAGTGGAAAAGCATTAGAAGTTAAATATGACACAAAAATTACATTTGTATTTGGAATGTATTTGTCAAAGACAGAACAGGATTTCCTTATAGGCTGGAGAAAGTTGACTCATCACAAAACTCTTATTCAAATTTAAATAGGAAATGGGAAATAATTTTTTTTTTATAGAGGCATGTTATTTATTTATTTATTTGTTTGTTTGTTCTGTTTATACATGCACTGGGTACAGTCAGAAGCGCGGGAGGGTGAGAGAATTCACCAGAGCCAGAGCGGGGAGCAGAGCAGGCAGAAGGACCGAAGTACACTGCTGAGGGGAGCAGCGGGCGGCAGGAGAGGTCTGCGCGCCATGGGGGACCCTCCTCTGGTGGCCGGGGAGCAGCCGGGGATCGAACCGGCGCCGCAGAGGCCGCGGGCAGCTTCGCAACCCAGCGCTCCACCGCTGCGCCACCGGGGAGGCCCGGGAAATAATTTTTTTAACACTTGAACATCTACTGTTGAAACTCTGATTAAACTACAAAAGCTTTCCTGACTTTCTAAGCACAAAGAAATCATCACAGTTGAATTAATCCTTAAAGGGTGAGGTATGAAATATCCATGATCAAGGTCTATTCCTGTAGGATCCAAGACTGAAGGCCAGTACTCACAACTCAAGTGGACCTTAGAAAGTCTTTTTGGAGAGGGCCTCCCTGGTGATGCAAGGAGTTAAGATGCAAGCTATGAAGATGTCCACAGCCACTGCAGCACGAGTTCGATCCCCAGGCAGGGAGCAGCCCACATGGCACAGCAGAATTCTCCTGGCTCACCCGCTGCTCCCCTCAGCAGTGTTATTTCACTCAATCTGCCTGTTCTGTTCCCTGCTCTGTCTCTGGTGAATCCTCTCACCCTCCACACCTCTGGCCTGTACTCCAGTTCTTGTATGTGCAAATAAATAAATCTTAAAAAAAAAAAATTCTTTTTGGAGAGCTCAACCCCTGAGGCTAGCTTTAAAACACTGTTTAAATTCCCTCCTTTTCATCTTTCATCAACAGTTAGCAAAGGGCAGCTTCCACATCATCAGTTTGGCCAGTTGTGATTCTGGTGTCTTCTGAAGCATGCTCATGGGTACAGATGCTTATAAATAATAAGCTCAAGTACTAGGTCCCTCCCTAAATAAGTTTAGTTGAAAAATGTTAAAACCCAAAATTCAACTAAGTACATTTTAAAGCTCTTAATAGACTTTGTTCAACGATTTGTGGATCAGGCAACATCCAATCTCATAAGTAGACAGGAACTCCGAGGAGCTTAAGAGACTTTTTATAGGCAGAAGGCTGCAGAAACAAGAACGTTATATAAGGCAAAAAGCTGATTGGTTATCACAAGGTTACTTTCCTTAGGGGATGGCAGTGTTCTATCAGGCAGATTAAGCAACTAGTGTCCATCAGCCCATTCCTGGTTGACATTTACGTTTCCATTTCTGGAACTAAGCTGAACTTAATGAAGTCTTGGTTTGGTGATATGTGGGTTTGCCAAAGTGACTCCATTTTGGGCTGTTGTTTTGCTTTTAACAGGAGGATAAAATAGTACCTGGAAGACATCACTGTCACCAAATGACTAAAGATAACCTAGCAGCAATAGGACTAATGAACAACATGGATCCCCAGAGAGGATGCTCTGAGTACATGTCAGCATCACCCCATGCTCCAATGCATGCCCTAAATGCATGACCTGCATGTAGTCTTGAGGAAACATCTGCCAAACCTGAGTGGAGAGACTATCTACCGAGTAACTGGCCTATACTCTTCAAAATGTCAGTATCGTAAGTATGACTTTGGCAACCATTCCAGATCACAGGAAGAGATAGGTGACTGACTTCAAATTTTTGAGGCTTTTGGTATAAATGAAATTTTGGGGACAATTGACAAAATCTTAGTAAGGTCTATAGATTAGATAATAGCATTGTTTCAGTGTCACCTTCCTGATTTTGTTGTGTAGTCATGCAAGAGAATGCATGTTTTCAGTTAATACAAAGTGAAATACTTTTAGGAAATGAAAGGTTATCCTACCTGCAACTTACTCTTCAATGGCACGAGACAACTTGTGGCTCATAAAGATGTTCCATATCTTGACTGCAGTGGTTACTGTGGCTGCATGAACTCACATATTAGTCAAAGGTCATTGAACAAAGATGCATGTGTTTTATTGTTTTAAGCATATCTCAATAGCCAACACTAATTTTCTAAAAATGCTGTTCATTTTGACATGGTATGATTTTGTTTGGTGACAGAGCAACTCCAGTAATGTCACATGGACTAACTTCCTGTTCTTTGTGTTTCTGGGTTTGTATTGATTGATCGATCGCCTAGTCCAATGCATGAAATTCCATAAATGGGCACTGAACTGTTCCAAGCTCAGTCTCTCCTCATTTTATCTCATCCGTTTAAGTAGTCTGCAACTAGGTTTGTTGGTTCTCATTTAAATTTTGCTTGCTTTTTTCTTTTTTAAGAGCTGCAAATATTTTCTGTCTAAAAAAAATCTCCTCTGGCCACTAAAAGGTATCACAACATAAAACAATCCTTATATTTTATATTATATAAAAATGAAAAAAGAAAAAGGAAGAAAAGCATGTGGGCTGCTTCAAAGGAAATGAAAAACTAGGACTGTGGCCATTTTTGATCACTAAATAATAGGATTTCAGTGACTGTGTGTTTCACAGGCGCTTAGCTATTAACTCATCTTAGGAAAGGGACTGCAAAATGGACCATTTCCTGTTGTGAGAAGGTTGTGGTGCCTTTACATTGTGTTACCAAAGGCTTGAAGAAAGGTGAGCAGCCAGGGTCAGCGAATATCATAGAAACTGACGCGCAACCATCAGGGGTGAGAGGCTGTCAGTACAAGTAGAAGCAATTCTAATGAGCAGGTGGATTTGGACCTGACCCACATTAATAAGGCAGGAGGGGGCTGCAGGCTGTGGCTGCCTCCAGGGGCCAGAGTGGAACAGAGAAGTGAGCTGGAGACGCAGCTTTCCTTGGTTCTGGCTCTACCAAGTTAACTGGGTGACCTCATAAAGTCCCTTCTCTGGGGTTCAGTTTCCTCTTCTGCAAGAGGAGGGTTGCATCAAATGATCTTTCCAGCTGGCTCATGTCCTGCAATTCTGAATGACAGCTTCTTTGGTATGGAACACAGACATTTTTTTAATTTCTGCCATTGCTCCCAAATGTGGCAATATTGTCATCGTCACTGTCTTAGTGCCTCTCGGGCAATCTTTGGATAAGCGGAAATGTTTAAATTATTTCCATTGTGATTTTGCTTCCTGGGAGAGAAAAAAGGGCTTTTTTTTTTTTTTTTTTTTTTTGAGCCACTAATTCCTGAGAGTAGCTATAAAGCTCTCCACAGCACGTACAGTAAGGGAGGACAGATCCAGCTAATAGATAAAATGCTCTATGCTGGCTTAACTTATGTCCCCAGGAATTTCTAAGTAATCTAATGACATTATCTGGCAGGTTCTAATAACATCTGTGTGAATGAGCCTGGGGAGGCTCTTATCATTGTCTACAAATTAACAGATTCTAAATTTAAAAATGACTTGCTTAACGTGGGGACTTTTTTTTTTAGACTATCATCAAGAAATGGATAGGAAAAAAACATTTCAGGCAATCTATGAAACCAGTTCAAGCTTCAGTTTAGAACCTCACCCAACTTTTTGTTTTAGTGAAAATGTTGGTTTAAAGTTGGCCAAAGCTCTGAAGCTGAAAAATGCTGAAGGGTACCGGAATCTGCCACCTCCAAATATGCCTCTTTGGCATCTGGATTATTTTGAGAACCAGCAGATACAGGAAATGCATTAAAAACAGGACACAAATTTGCCTTTTGAAAAGGAAATGTCCATTTTTAGAAACTTTTCCTTCTGTACTGGGAAGAGGACTCTTATCAGAGGGAAGGTGCCCCAGTGAACATAATCAACATAATTAGCGTACTGAATCCTTGTTCACCATACTTTTCTACCTCGCCTTTACCTTCCCATAACCATCTCCTGTTTCTCTGTTTAGCATACAATCACATGGAAGCGCATGTTCTAACTGCCTGTTGGGTTCCCCATTCCTGGGCACCCCCATATGTGTGTACAATGCACATATTCACAACTTTTCCTTTTATCTGGTTGATTTGCCTTTGGCCAGTCTAACTTCAGACAAGCTGAGATGGGTAAAAGAGAGGAATTACCCCCCTTCCTCTCCAGTGCTTGGCCTAGACTAAAGTATTAAAGCAGAATTTTTACCTTCAAGAAGAATCATCTGCCCAGGCTGGTGGAAGAAGTCACTTTTCATCCTTTTAGGGTTGCCCAGCACTGGTTGGCAAAGGTCTACCTGAGAATAATAATGAGGGAAAGAGGTGCAGGTGTAATAGGGGGAGTCCCCATGAAAGGGGGAGGTTCCAGGTTCCCTGCCCTACCCAAAAGGAGGGTGGAGCTGAGCAGGGAGAAAAGAAGCTGCAGAGGAGACTGAGGGAAGGAGGATGGAGCTGGAAGGAGACCTGGAGGAGGCACATGGAGCTGAGAGACACTTGAAGAAACTGCGCTTGCCTTTTGGTCGTGGACTGGGTGACACAGATGTGGGTGAACCTCGTGGGGAGGTGACAATGGTGGATTTTGTCTTGATTTTGATTTTGCTCTTTTCCTTCCAGACTTGTCTGGTTGTTTCTGACCCTTTTATGTGGGTCCCCACTGGAAGATACTTTAGACTTGTGGCAGGCTTTGGGGCCTTGCTCTGGGCCAATCCTGCTTTGGTGGACTTTTACCCACGAGGGACAGGTAACTTTGGGTGCTTGATTTAGAAACTATGTTCTTTGCCTTTCCTGTATTGTTTACTAATTGTATTAAAGCTCCTTCCCAGTAAAGTCTCATACATTTTATGTTGATGCGGCAGATGGCAGAACCTATTTAAAGAAGGCAGGTTTGTGGGGTCTGGGGTGCCCCTATCCCTGTCTTGTAACACAGGGACAAAGGGCTGCTGAGACTCTGTGGCTGGAGAAATGCCACTGCCCTGTGCACTGGGGTAGCGTTGAGGCCACACTGGTTGGCAAGGCTCTGAGACTTTGGTATTCATTAAACACTTTCAACTCTATCAGGAAACAAGGGAGACATATATTAGAACTTCACCCATCATCAAGGATGCCATCAACTTCTTAGCCAAGTCAGATAATAGATTTGAATATGGGAAGACTATGTCTTCAAGTTGTGATGCTATTTACAATGTAATGGCTGCAGACATTATTCCCTTTAGGTCTAACTTACCTTAACATTTTCTCTACCACTTGATTAGGTCTATACCAGGAGTTAACAGTCTACTAATTAGGAGCTTTTCAAATCTAAGTGACTTCAGAAGCTTTTCCACATGAGCTGTTCGGCTTCCACAGGACACACTCTAGGTAAATCAAATTTAAGGAACCCCACTCATTTTACTGATGAAGAGCCCAGAATAAATTTAGATCTGGGCTGAGAATGCTTTCTGATTGGTCCCTCTGACACCCCCAAACTTGTTTAGGGCAGGGGACAGGGTCTACCTTGGGGTATAGCACACTGGGCAGCCCTCACTTGCGGGTGGGCACGATGTAAGGTTGGCAGAGGAAAAGGCTCAAACAAGCTATTTGCCTCCCTGTCAGTAGGAAATGGTTATGGGCAGAGTGGGGTAATAATAACAGGAGGAAAGGATCCCTGCTCTTTCTTATGACTGACTCCCTCCAGATTGTAAAACCTCAAACAGAAAGTCAGAGCTGGAAATCAGATCTGGAAGGTATGATGTTTTCAAGATAAAGATCTTAAAGTACAGGGTCCAAAGATGACTCAGCTCCTTGCAAATCGTGTGACCCATTCTCTGCCTTAGTTTCTTTGTATAAAACAGGAAGGTACCTATTTTGTTAGCTTGTTGTGAGACCTTACAGTTAGAACATACCAGAGGGGGAACTCACTTTCCTGTGCCAAACAGCCCTTTCTGTTTTCCACCACTCCAACCACCTTCTCACCTGAACCAGAAACCTTAACAATGGGTGCAGATGAATGTGTAACTACCAGCTCTCCAGAAAACAAAATGTGTGCCAATAAGCACATACATTAATTGAGCATTTCGTTAATATTAAGAATGAGAGGCACATAATTTACAAACATAATCAAGTATACAGTAGTCTTTATTGTAAATTCCATTTAGCCTATTGATTCTTGCAGAATGCGTTCATTGATTTTCACCACCCTTGGGTAGCCATGAGAGTTGGCTGAGTGTGGCTCCAACAGGGAGCTTTGCTTAATATTTTTTGTTACTATAGTGAACAGGAAAGAAAGGAGACATATATTAGACTTCACCCATTCATCAAGGATGCCATCAACTTTTTAGCAAAGTCAGATAATAGATTTGAATACAGAAAGAATGTGTCCTCAAGTTTTGATGCTATGTCTAATGTAATGGCTTCAGACATAATTCCCTTTAAGGTCTAACTTACATTAACACTTTCTCTATCATTTTACAGAGTCTACAACAGGATTTAACAACCTGTTACGAGGGAAAAAAAAAATCAGGCTGTTGTCTGGTTTTCTAAATGGGTGCTTCCCAGAAAAGGGGAGGTTCCAGGTCCCCTGCCCCACCCACGGAAAGGCAGAGCTGAGCAGGGAGGAGGAAAAGCTAGAGAGGACACTGGAGGAGCAAGGAAGGATGGGGAGTCAGAAGGAGGCACATGGAGCAGAAGAAGCTGCCCTTGCTTCTTGGTCCTGGACTGGTTGAAACAGACGTGGGTAGGAGACCATGGGGAGGTTAACAATGGCAGCTTTTATCTTGATTTTGATTTTGTTCTTTTCCTTCCAGACTTTATATTATTTTTATTTTAAATGAAATCCAATAATATTTTATTGGAAACAACCACGCTCATTCGTGTATACGTTGTTTATGGGGGTAAAGTTGAACAATTGTAGTGGAGACTGCCTGGCCCAGCATGCTAAAAATATTTACTATCTGGCCCTGTTGACCTCTGAGCTAGAAAAACCAACAAAGCAACATGTTAAACCCTGAGTGTAGCTTCTGCCAATTTCCACTATGTAAATATCCCCAGCATGGCGCTTTCAAGCTGCTCTTGCCATGTGGTTGGTTGTGGAGTTGGGAAGAGCAATGCACAAGGATGTATTTCCATCAAAAAGGTACAGCAGGTGCAAATCACCCCAAGGGTTTGGATGATAACAAAATATAGTAAAGGAATTAGGAAGCGATTATTCGAGAATTCATTACCACCTTTGTTTTTAATATATTTCATTGCAAATGTACATAATGTAATTTTTAGTGCTGGCACTATTGCTTGCAAGTGGGTCTCCTGCTGGCTTTGGCATGCCACTGCTTACAGATCAAGTAGCTCCCCAGTTGCTCCTTGCTGGCCACATCGAATTAATCCTCAAGTGCTCTGATTCTAGTCCACAAGCCTCTGTAACATCTGTTCTCTTCCTTCCTCAGTGTTAGAGCTTTTACTCTGGACATCTCCCCCTCTTACCCAGACTATGATTATAATAATTGCTTAAATCCTCTAGTTGATTGCAGAACACACCCCTCCAATCCATCTGAATCATCCAGGATTCTTGTTAAAATGCAGGTTTTGATTCAGTGGCTGTGGGAGGGGCCTGAGATTCTGCATTTCTACCAAACACAGGGCAGTGCTGTTGCTATTGGTCCTGGGTCACCTTTAAGCTGGAGACTAAATCACAATTGAAGCCCTCTGCAAAAATGTGCCTCTGCCACTGTTACTCTTCCATCAAAACAATCGCCAGCTCCTCAGCAGAGCAAGCTTCTCCACATCTCCTCGGGCTTCTTAATATGGCTCCCACTGCCTGCAGCCACGGCTCCCTCCCTCCCCCATCTGCCGGAAACGCCTTCTTCTCTTTCAAAGCACAGCTGTGTGGCAGCCTCAGAGATGACAACGCCTCTTCTGACATCCCCAGTTAGAAATAAACTCCCTCCCCGGGGTCCCGCTGCTCCCTGTCAGCACATCCATCTCTTGACGAGGCTGCATTTATTTGTTTACGTGACTTTCTCCCTCATTAAACTGACAACCAAAATTCTGTAAATCATATTCTGACCTCAACTCAAATGTCACTTCCTCAGAGTTTTCCTGACTTGCCCCAAAAGCCGGCTCACCCCTACCTTGTCACTCTCCAGTAACACCGTGTGTGTGTGTGTGTGTGTGTGTGTGTGTGTGTGTGTGTGTGTGTGAGTGCTGTTCCATCCTCTTGTTTTAGTTTTTAACAGATGTCATCTTTTGTCATGCCATTAAGATCAGCAGTTGGTAAGTTGGTAAAAAATCAGACACTAACGTTGAGGAATCATAAAAAGTGACATAATAGGTATGTTAAATATTTTGTGAAAAATCTAAACACAGGCACATTCAGTTGCCTTGGTTTTAAGCCAGAAGCAAAAACATCATCCTCAGTAAGAAGTTGTTGTGGGGTTCAGCATCATCTTTCTAGCGTAAACTGTAGCTATAAAGCATCATTTATAATTTCTGCTTTCACTTTTTTAAAGTGGAGTGTGAGCCTAAGGAAATTTGGAAAGCAAGACTAAGCTTTTTTTCCCTTATCTTTTACAATTAGGTCTTGCCCACGCCTAATTTAACAGCATTGTTTAGAAGCAACCCACCATTATCAAATCTTCCAAAGCCTATAATTTAGATTCTTTTAAACAAACATTTTATTTTGGAGTAATTTTAGATTGCAGATAAGTTGAAAAGATAATGCAGAGAGTTCTTGAACACCCCTCACCAGTTCTCCTAGTCATTAACATCCACATGTGCCCAAACTAAGAAAGCAATGCTGGGGGCCTCCCTGGTGGCACAGGGGTTAAGCCACAACCTTTGAAGCTATCCACAGTCGCTGCAGCACAAGTTTGATCCCCAGCCAGGGAGCTGCCCACATGGTGCTGCAGACCTCTCATGACTTGCCCTCTGCTCCCCTCAGCAGTGTATTTCAGTCAATCTGCCTGCTCTGTTCCCCACTCTGTCTCTGGTGAATCCTCCCATCCCTGGCACCTCTGACCTGTACCCCAGTTCTTGTATGTATAAATAAATAAATCTTTTTTTTATTTTTATTTTTTTTTTTTTTTAAATTTTATTTATTTATTTTATAGAGGCATGTTTTTATTTATTTATTTGTTTGTTTGTTTTTTGTTTATACATGCACTGGGTACAGTCAGAAGCATGGGAGGGTGAGAGAATTCACCAGAGCCAGAGCGGGGAGCAGAGCAGGCAGAAGGACCGAAGTACACTGCTGAGGGGAGCAGCGGGCGGCAGGAGAGGTCTGCGCGCCATGCGGGACCCTCCTCCGGTGGCCGGGGAGCAGCCAGGGATCGAACTGGCGCCGCAGAGGCCGCGAGCAGCTTCGCAACCCAGCGCTCAACCGCTGCGCCACCGGGGAAGCCCAATAAATCTTTTTTTAAAAAAAGAAAGCAATGGTGGTACATTATTATTATCTAAACTCCAGGCTTTAATTGGTCTTACCCCTTTTTCCATGGTCTCTTCCTGACCCAAGACATCCAATCCAAGGTGCCATGTTGCATTCAGTGCCCATGGCCCATAGTCTGCTCTGTTCTATGGCAGTTCCACAGCTTTCCTTGTTCTTCGCGACTTTGGCAGTCTTGAGACACGCTGTCTAGGTATTAGTATTAGTCTTCCCTTAGCCTGTGTTTTTCTGATGATTAAACTGATCATAAGGGTTTTTAGAGAGAAAGCACAGAGATGAAATGTCCTGCCCAGGCACATAATGTCTATTTGTATCACTTCTGCTAGTAACTTTCATGTAATATAGATTTATAATTTTTTAAATTTTTTGATGAAAGGCTGCTCATCCTTTTAGCACTTGCATTTTATTGGTTTACATACTATTTTACTAAACAGTGTAATCAGAAGTATAAATATAGTAGTTCCCCCCCTTATCTGTGGGCCACACATCCCAGGACCCCCAAGGGACACCTGAAACCACTTAATCCAATCCTACTGAAATACTACTGAAGCCAATGGAGATACTATATTTTCCTCTATGCATATACACCTATAACAAAGTTAATTTATAAACCGGGCACAGTAAAAGATGAACAACAGGGGCCTCCCCTGGTGGCGCAGCGGTTGAGCACTGGGTTGCAAAGCTGCCCGCAGCCTCTGCAGCACCGGTTCAATCCCCGGCTGCTCCCCGGCCACCAGAGGAGGGTCCCACATGGCGCGCAGACCTCTCCTGCCGCCCGCTGCTCCCCTCAGCAGTGTACTTTGGTCCTTCTGCCTGCTCTGCTCCCCGCTCTGGCTCTGGTGAATTCTCTCACCCTCCTGCGCTTCTGACTGTACCCAGTGCTTGTATAAATAAATAAAAAATAAAAAAATAAATCTTAAAAAAAAGATGAACAACAATAATGGATAATAGAACAATTATAACAATATACTATAATACATTCTCCCCCTCCCACCCTCTTCCCATTTCTCTCCTCACCCCGCCCCCCACCCCCAGCTATATGTTATTTAGGTAATATTTTCCAACCACAGCAGATCATGTGCAGTATGGTCTGCACACAGTAGACCCCGGAAATTGAGATCACAGACAGGGGAAATTTGCAGAAAGGGGACTATGGTACAAAGCGCGCCCACAGGATGGAGAGTAAAGTCAACTGATTTTGATCAATGTCAGTCCCTGCGGGTGGGGACACAGCATCTAGGAGCACTGCCATGAGTCTGGCAGAGACATCAGCCTGTGGGTTTCACAATGACCTGGAAAGCACTGGCCATTTCAATATTATCAATTAATTGAAGCTACAGGAGCATTAACCACAGTGGGGATGAAGAGTTAAAATCTCTGCGTCTGCTAAGTGGAGGTGGGTTGAGAGATTCCATAGGCTTGTTCATTGTCCTCCTCCCTCTGAGTGCAAGAGCTTCTCTGACTCACTTATTGCTGCATCCCCAGCAAGTGGCACACACTGGGAACTCACGCTGGAACTCACACATGGCACAATTGATGGATGAGCCACATAAACACAGCAAACTCTATGTGTACCAAGGGGAGACCAATCAGGAGATAGTTGAGCAGAACAGAACTTGTTAACCAAATGCAACTTTGTTGACTAGATAACAGAAACAGCAGCAGGATAGCACTAGATTATGGCAGAAGTAACAACTATAGGAAGCCGCTCTCCCCCTACAGCTGGGGGAAGAGAGAGAAGAGGCTGCCATGATGAAAATTTGGACGCTTGCAGGAAAAGCCCCAAAGGAGGTGCCAGCGGCTGGTACTGATGTCTCTGGTGAGACCAGGTCTGTAAGTGTTGAAAACAAAAGGGGTTCAGGGTCTGACTCAGGCAGGAAGTTGCTGCTTCAGAGATGTCACCAGTGCCGCTCACAGAGCAGGAAGCGGTTGGAAAGGACCTTGTCTGTGTCCCTCCAGTAGTGTCCCTCTGGCATCCCCGAGTGGGCAGAGCCTTATGGGGAGGGGGTTGGAGACCCAACTCCAGAGCCAAAATGAGGTTTGCAGAACCCGGTCCAGGAGCCCCAAAACAGTGAGTGCAGAGGGTGGGTCTGGAGTTGAAAGAAGGCAGCTTAGTGACTGTCTGGATACAAAATAGGTGACTATTGATGCAGCATTTCACTGCCTCAGTTTCCCTTCTTCCCCACATCACTGCAGGTTCCCGGCCCCATTTCTTGGCTCCTTTTCCTTCTGACATCTTTGCGGGGAGGGGTCCCCTGAGATGTGTCTCAGGGAAGCAGGAATGTCTTGGTGCAGAGGTCATACTGCCCATGTCTCCAAGCCAGTACCCAGGGAGCTAGCCTGACCCTTCCCTCCAAGGAGCAGCTCCCCCTCTTCTGGGCTCTGTCTTCTTAAATGTACCCCACCCAGAGTGCCTGGGCTCACATAACATGCTGAACTAGACTATTCTTTTAATTTGACATAAGGTCTTTTCCTCCCAGGCCATTGGCGCACCTCCATTTTTCTGGCTGGGCCAAGTAGGGGTTCAAGTAACAATGACACCAAATTTTAGACTTACTTGGTTTCTGAACGTTGATCACCCATGGACTGCTTGAAGTCGAGTCTTTACTACCTATCCTAGTGCTGTGCGCCCATTCAAGCTGTGGATAGACAAACATTTATTTTGGCAATAGTATAAAATATAAGTGGATACACTGATAAACAGTAAGAATGTGTACAAATATTTAATAAAAAGGCAGTTTTGTCAATATTTCTTGTAGGAGGTTTGTCTTCGTAAGGTTTCTTAGATTAAAAGTCCCACAGAGTTTGCACTGAAAATGCTCACCTCTCCAAAAAATCTGCTCCATTGAGGTAGCTGCTCCTTTTCACAAAGACTTTCAACTCAAATTCCAAGCAAGGACCATTTTTCTTGAAAGAACTATCCCTAGGCCTCCCTGGTGGTGCAGGGGTTAAAGTCTCAGTGCTATCAAGCTATAGGCAGCCACAGTGGCTTGAGTTCTATCACCGGCCAGGTTGGTGACCCACATGGTGCAACAGACCTCTTCTGTCTCGCCCTCTGCTCCCCTCAGCAGTGTGTTTCAGTCAGTCTGCCGGTTCTGTTCCCCACTCTGTCTCTGGTGAATCCTCTCACCACCCCCCACACCTCTGGCCTGCACCCCCTTCTTGTGTGCATAAGTAAATAAATCTTTAAGAAAAGAACTATCCCTGGCTGCTCCTTTCCTCTGATGCTGATGAATAATCTGAAGAACCTTTTTGGGGAAGATCTTCTATGTTCTTGTATACAAATCTCAGCAGCTTCCTCCTAAACTCTGATGTGATGCCAACTAGTTTGCTGCCTAAAATGATCCAGTCATCCTTCACATGGGTCACAAACATTTCACTGAAACTGCTCCAAACATTTCAAGGTTTGAAAAAAAAGTCAACAGGCAGAGCCTCAAGCACTAGGAGGGCGGTGAGACTATTCTATATGATACAATGATGGTGGCTACACGCCACTTTGCATATATCAAGAGCATAAGGTATACAACACTCAGAGTGAACCCCAGTGTAAACGATGGACCTTAGGTCACAGTGATGATCCATGTACGTGCATCGCTGTGACGAATGTCCTGCTCTGGGGCAGAATTATGACAGTGGGGGAGGCTATGTCTATATTGGGGTGTTCTTTGCACCTTTCATTCAATTTTGCTATGAAGCTAAACTGCTCTAAAAATTAAAATCTACTGAAAAATAAAAATTAAATTAAAAATAATGTCTTTGCTGAAATCATGGCTTGGCTTAAACCATGATGAATTTTTCTCGTTAAGGAATCATGTGGTTTCCCTCTCAATTTTGTGTGTGTTGTCCATCTCCACCCTCCCAATATCTGGGAACGGATGACAAGGAAGAAGTTTATGTATATAGGAGGGTGGTCAGCAGACACACTGAGGCTCAGTTCTGGAACATCCAGAACCCCTGTCCCCATGGACCTTCAGTGGCAGAGTCCCTTCAGATGAGCCCCATTTGTCTTGGTTGCTCCTACCCCCTGCATCTACTGTAGTGTCTGGCACATACATTTGCTGGATGGATGTTTGTTGAGTGAATAAATGAGCACATGAGAAAAGCAAATGGAGACTCAAGAGTGAGTGGAGACATTTCATGGACAAAAGGTTGGAAGCAAATGGCAGAGATGGACGGCCAAGCTCATATTTTCAGTAGCCCGTCTTCTGGCAACTCCCATGTGAAAAGCAGCAGGAATGGAGCCAGGAAACCTAACTCCAGGTTTGGAAAACATTGTCAGGATGACAGAAAAATCTAGTCTCTTGCCACCTGCTGGCCCACCTCAGCCTGGCTCCTGGCTAGGGACACATGGGGTAGAGGCCAGCCTCTTCCGCAGCAGTGGCTTACAGCACCCCAAGAACTTCAGCATCCAGAAATAAAGGGAAGAGCAAAATTGGGTGTGAGCCTGGGCGGGTCAGAGCAGTCGCAAAGCCACACGCGTGGATACCACTCACTGAGGTGAGGTTTTGAACTGCATCCTGATGAGACACAAGTTTCAGCCTAGTGTGACCTTCAACTTGGCAGGGCCACCTGACTGGGCCGGGAGCCCCAGCCTGGGGGCCCGTGATTGGATCCAGGCCATGAACAAGAAGATCTGGCCTAAGTGTTGATCTTTTCATTTTAATTCGGTGATGAAGTTTAGAAATCGGGAAATTTCAGATCAAATCTGGCTTTCCAGCTGTTCATGAGGAAAGCAGGTCTGGGAACAGCGGCCTGTTTCCTCCTGGCCCCTGTGTGCTTCCAGAGGAGAGTGGCGGCTCTTGCACCTGGCTGCTCCTGTTCCTCCCCCCACCCGCCTGGGCTGTGGACACTGGCCTGGGCATCCACTGGGTCTTCCTGGGAAGGAGGTTGAGAAAAGACTGTGTCATCCCCCAAAGGATAACCTTATGTTAAGGAGCCTTTTGTGGGCAAAGAAACTCCCTGGCGTCTTAGGTTATAAGCTCCAGCAGAGACTGTCACAGAGCTGTAATTGAGTTGGGTGATGTAAACAGAGGAGGGTCAATCTTTGAAAACAGGACCCAGAGTTTGCTCAATTTGCTCAGGTCCATCTTGCCTGGAGAGCATGTTTGCTTTGATACTGTATGTCTATCTGGACCAAATGTCCCCTGCAGTTAAGCTTCTTCCACATTCAACATCCCGCCCTAACACAAACGAAGGAAGAATTGTCACGAGAAATAAGTCTTAAAAATTGACCGAATGAGGAAATTTGCACTTATTCAAAATACCATTTCTTACTGACATTTTCCTTCCGGCCGCCTTGGCATGAATGTAAGAATTATTTATGACTCAGCATTTCCTGCAACTGCCCACAGGACCAGGCACGAACTGAGAGAATGAGGAGCACCATGCTGACTTCACCCTTCCACGTTCCTGGCAGGAAGGAGGCGGGTATGGGCTTCCCCAGGGCCTCTGGGGGTCAAGAGCTGGCCCCGGAATGTCGGGGCTGTGCATCCTAGAAACAACCAGCAAAGATTTCCTGGAAAGGGCTGGCTCGCCTGACTCTCAACACTTTCTGCTTGGCCACCTTGTAGCTCCCCCCACAATCACTCAACTCTGGTCAAGTGTCTTGGTGCAAAACCAGCCAGTCATGTAGACAGATTCACTCCCAGGACTGCCAATTAAGGTACCATGATGGAGCTTGAACCACTGACCTTATTTTCTCAGCGTTCAGGAGGCTGGAAGTCCAACACCCGGGGGTGAGCAGGGCTGGCATCTCCTGGGGCCTCTGCTTCTGGCCTGCAGACGCCACCTTTGCTGTGTGGTGTTCCGTGCTCTCCCCTCTGTGCTGTGTCCTGACACCTTCTTACAAGGACACCAGTTGTGTTGGATCGGGGCTCACCCTGGTGAACTCATTTGACGTAACTGTTGTTTTAAAGGCCCCCTCCCCAAATGCCGTCACATTCTGAGATACTGGGGGTTAGGACTTGCGTCTATGAACTGTGTGTGCTGAGGGCTGGGGCATGATTCAGCCAGAGCGGGGAGCGGGTCAGTGTGCAGGCATGTGTTCCCAAGAAGTTTTCCAGAACCAGGTCTCAGCTAGACTTGGCCTGCGCACCCAGTCTGGGGCCCACAGCTCTCTGCTCCTGCAGCCCTCCCTCCGGCCCAGGCCTCCGCCAGCTCTCACTGATCCCCGCCGTCCTGCTCAAAAGGCCTCTGACCTCAGCTTCTTGGCCTCCATCAAAATGAATCCCACTCAGGTGCCTTCCCACTGGGTTTTCTTCCTGGGCTCCAGGGAGGCCGTGGATTCCTTCCCCTTCTCCATGACAGCCCTTTCCTGCTTCTCTGCTGTCACCTCATTGGCTTCCCAGCAATTAAGTGTTCAATGACCTTAAAGCTCAGGTGAGTCTCCCTCCCCTTCTTGCTGCATAGTTTCTTCCAAGGTGATTTCAATCTCCATCTATAAGCCAGAGCTTGCCGTTGCTTATCCTCATTATTCCTCAGTTTCCTCGCCTGCAGAAGGGCCAGGTTACCACTTACCTGTGTGTTAAATGTACAGCATGTGGACAGGGGCTGGCATTCATAGAGGCTCCTTTTTCATTTCACAAATATTTTCCGTGTCCCACAAATGTCACAGGCACTGGGGCTACAGCAGTGAGTGAATTAGGCAAACTCCACCTGGGAGAGCAGGGGGCTCCTATTCTGGAGAGGGTGCCAGGCAGTAAAGACAAAGCCAGGTGAGAGCACAGAGATTGATAGTGAGTGTTAACTGTGGGGGTCAGGGAAAGCACCCCCTCAATAGCGTGATTAGAAGCAGACGCCTGAATGGAAAGGGGGATCCACAAACATCATTCTTCTCGCTGCTCCCCTATAGAGAGAATCCCACTCAGGTGGTTACCAGGGAGAAAGCCAAATCCTTTCTGTCTGGGGGTGGGGGTAGAGCAGTGCCAACAAAAATAAGGGGTGGGCATTACAGTTAGAGCTCACACCACCCGCTGGGGTTCACCATCTGGTCTTGGGGCTTGGTTACTGAATTGCCTCAGAGTTGATGTGCAAACTAGATCAGCGCCGAGAAATGCTCTGAATAATGGAACTTCTGCTTGGAGACAACAGAGTAAAAGAAAACTCCAAGAAATCCTAGGTCTCTTTTTTTGTGGGTTTGAGGTAGGACTTGGCAGGCATGTTCTGCCTTGGCTTGCCTGTGAACAGAAAACTGAATGAGTCAAAACGCAGCCAGAATGGAATAACGAGAACTTCAGGACTCTACCGGGAAACCTCAAGGATTACCCGGGTTCTAGGAAGACAGCAAGGCTGACAGTGCCCTGGGCACAGCTGCTTGTATTTCCACTCTGGTCTTTCTCCTTAAAGAGCAGGGATGGCTCGGTTGAGTAACTGCCTTAGAATGTTGAACTTGAATAAAGTTCAAAAACCCTAACATCTTTGCCTCAGTACTTCCTCCTGAGTTGGCTCCACACGCCTCCTCTTGTGTATTCATGGAAGGGAATGAGGAAGAGAGAAACAAGGCTTCCGGGAAGAATGCAGAACGCAGATGCAGCAGTGACATCAAGAAACCCCAAGCCAAGTCAGCGCCTCCTGTGCCCTGAGTCCTGCTCAGCTACATCTGCAGCATCAAGGGGCAGGTCCTTTGGCAGCACAGACACATTTGGCTGCCTGAGGGAACCCAGAGCTGTCAACCTATAAATAAAGCATTTCAGTCTAAACAACTGAGCCAGACACAGCTGAGAAAATCGTGAGGGTGTTGATACAATAAGATTTAGGAAACAGATATTTTAGAAACATTTGACTGGTGACCTAGTAGTCACCAATTCTCACAGTCCCCGCACAGCCGGGGGCACACACATGGGGCTGGCAAGGGATGTTTGACAGCAGATAAGCATGTGGTATTCCTGAAGCAAATCTCTTAGCAAGGAAACCAGACTCTTCTCAAGCTCCTAAAAGTCAAACAGAAGCAATCAAGTGACCAGGTATCCTTGAGTCCAGGTTAAGGTAAAGAACTTTAAAGGACACGCCAATAAAATGAGGGTGTGCTCTAGAAGAAATGTGATTTTGCTCATTTCCTCATTTCCCTCAGCATTCAGAGGGGTGGACAGGGTTCGCTTCTCGATGCTATAGAAGAATAAAAAAGATGAACTCAACCCACTCTTGGGCCTTGAGAGCTGTCCCTGGGGTGGGGGGAGTTGGAGCAGGACAAGTAAAAAGAGCAACGATTGACTTCCTGTGCTCGGCAAGGACCCACAGCTAAGAGCTAACTAGGCCGCTGGCCATCTTCTGGCCCAGGGAGGCCTGTTACTTTGAGATCTAGCCACCGTATTAACATGACAAGTGTGTCTACCTAGACCTACCCAGGTCAGTGCCTGCAGCTCCCAACTTGCCCCCAGTGCCCAAGTGTCCCCTCTTGGAGTGGAGCCAGTTGAGTCCTCAATCAGCTCCTTTGGGGTTTGTTATAAAAGACCTCACCTTAAAAAACTCTGTTCCTTGATCTCAAGGTTTGAGTCCCTCTTTTCATCTCAAAGGGAAACAACTAAGAACTGTAAGGAGGGCCTCCCTGGTGGAGCAAGGGGTTAAGCACAGCACTGTGAAGGTGTCTGCAGCCTCTGCAGCACGAGTTCCATCCCCAGCCAGGGAGCTACCCACATGGCACAGCAGACCTCTCCTGACTCACCTGCTGCTCCCCTCAGCAGTGTGTTTCAGTAGATTTGCCTGTTCTGTTCCCCACTCTGTCTCTGGTGAATCCTCTCACCCCCACCCTGCACCTGTGGTCTGTACCCTAGTTCTTGTATTCATAAATAAATAAATCTTAAAAAAAAAAAAACTGAGTAAGGAATGTAAGGAATGATGATCTAGACATTAGGGAACAAGAAACACACCATATCAGACTCCAGAGTACGCGAAATGTTTCCAGACTGATTACACATTCAGTTGCATTTCTGTTTGAGCAATTGAATAGAAACCAAATTCTGTGGTCTAGCATCAGGGCTCTAACTGAATCAATGCTTTAATTGAATAAACTTAGTATATATTAATGTATCTTAGTATATTGCCTCCAAGGCTCATCTGAATTTAGAAAGAAGTTACTCTCCAAAGACATATGACGAGTATCTCTGCTAACCAATCCTGGGACCATCTCTAAGAGGACAGAAGACCTGGTACCAGGTTGCTTCTGATGAGGAGAACCAGGTGTGCAGGAAACAGGGGCTGGGAATGTGGAGGCCCTCCCCCTGTATTATTCCTTGTAAACTTTTAAATTTTGAACCATGTGTATGTATTTCCTATTCAAAAATAAATAATACTTTTTAAAATGTATTTTTTTTACTTTACATTTGCATTATTTTGTAACCATCAAAGTTAGAAATTCTTTCAAGGCCTGAGGAAAATGATGAATTAAACTTTTCCTGACAGGACAAAGTCTTCAGATTATGCCTGATGGGTAGAATGAAGACTCCTGGCAAGATCCAGGGCGCTGACAGAGAAATACGTGTCTGACAGAACTTGGACTATTCACCAAATGAGAGTGTAAGAAGCGAAACCTGTTCAGAGTTGTATTTTGCCTCTTGTCAATGTATTTAATGAATCAGAGCAGTTTAAGCATTGCATCCAGTTTCCATCCTCATCCAACAACTTGTAGAGTCTTTTCTCACCTCCTCTGAGGTGACTGACACAAAATCTCAGAGTCCCACATTTGTGAGGAGCTGGGCCTAGGCTTTCAGGGTGCATGTCTCACTGTACGCAGGCTCCCCACGCCCAGGAAGATCTGTCAAGGCCATGGTGCCAGTGAGTGGCAAGAAGGGGTGATGTGACAGGAATAACAGGCCAGACAGCCAGTCTCCTGAGGAGGGAGGGGAGCGTTCAGTGGACTGTTTGACAGAAGTACCGGGGCTTACATATCAGATCACAGCCCAAATGCTATTTTTGCTGTGCCCTTTGACCTCTTCTGGAAGGCAAGCCACATTCTATCAATAATATATCCCCACCTTTAAAGTGCTGCCCTGGCCGAAAAGAGATAAGGAGCTATTGGCTGTCACCTGAGGCCCTTTCCAGAGGGAGGGTTCCTGGATTTACAGCTAAGGGGGATTTGTGTGTGCGTGTGGGAGTGGGGTGGGGTATCTGTTCGGTTAACAGAGTCTCTCTGCTCTTCATTTGATTGAATCCCAATTTTTAATTTATTTTTGTTTAAAGATTTATTTATTCACGTATCAAGAACTGGGGAGAGGTGAGGGGGGTGAGAAGATTCACCAGAGACAGAGTGGGGAACAGAGCAGGCAGACTGGCTGAAACACACTGCAGAGGGGAGCAGCGGGCGAGACAGGAGAGGTCTGATGAGCCTTGTGGGTAGCTCCCTGGCTGGGGATTGAACCTGTGCTTCAGTGGCTGCAGATAGCTTCATAGGTTGCGTCTTAACCCCCTGTGCCACCAGGGAGGCCCAGATTGAATTCCAATTTTTTAAAAGCTAATGACAAAGCTGTTTCTAGAATACGAAAAAGCTGGTAATGAGATAAAACGTAGCGCCTCAGGCAGGGATCTGAGGAAGACTTTGTCTTCCTCACAAGGACGACAGCAGGTGGGATGTGGAGGAGACAGAGCTCCTGACTGAGCCGAGGAGAGGAGGCCCCGTGGGAGAGGGGGCACACTGGTCGCGTTGTTGCATAGACCCAAACACCAGGCCTTGCCCGAGACTCTCTATGGCACAGACTACACATCACCCCCTTTCCTCGTGTAAACTCTGGTGCAGTCACTCCTCTCCCTCCAGACACGGCAACCGGGGCCAGGTGGCCTCTCAAAACAGGAGACGCCTTCTTTTTCAGAATCAGGACAGGTAACACATAGACAGTGTCCCTCCAGGCTGGCTGGAGAGAAAAGAAATTTAGACTCACGTACCTGAGGTTAATAGCAAGTGCACATGAAACTGTCCTTGAATGGGGGCCTCCCTGGTGGCGCAAGGGGTTAAGCACCACACTATGAAGCAATCTGCAGCCTCTGCAGCATGAGTTTGATCCCTGGCCTGCCAGGGAGGTGACCCACATGGCGCAGCAGACCTCTCCTGTCTCCCTGTGCTCCCCTCAGCAGTGGACTTCAGTCAGTCTGCCTGTTCTGCTCCCCACTCTGTCTCTGGTGAATCCTCTCTGGCCTGTACCCCAGCTCTCCTAGGCATAAATAAATAAATCTTTAAAAAAAAGAAACTGTCCTTGAATGAATGATGCTCTTTCCCAGAACAAAGTTTTTGTGATCCGAGACCAAGGCAGCCACTGATTCTCTCCGTTCTGGGTCTGAATGTCCACTTCATTGCTGGGCAGCCGGACAGAGGCCGGTCTGATGACAGCAGCGCTCGCCCGATGCTGCACACCACCCCTTGGTGCTGAAACCTCGGAAAAGAATTCCTCTAAGCTCCGGACAGGCTGTCTCCACACTCTGTCTTGATATTCATATCCAGCCTCTTTAATCAGGTTTCGGGGCCAATCCTGCCCCTCCCAAACACATTTTATTAATCCCTTTTAGGTCTGGGAGTTAAGCCAAAAATTCCTGGAGGAGGTGGAATTCCACCCCCTCCACCCAGCCCTCGCCCCAGGTTGACGTTTGAACACACACCGCCCCCTAGCGTCCACGGCGCGGCCCACCACCCGGGTTTCAGCACCTGCTGGAGCGAGGCACAAAGAAGCCCCTTTCAGCTCTTATGCAGAAGGGCTCGGTCTAAGGGCGACGGAGAACAAACACGCCCATTTTCTCAGAACGTCCAGAACAGTCCAGAATGTGGTGAAGATGGTACTAACGACACAGCCCGCAGCTTTGAAAACATTTTTAAAAAATCAGTCACGATAAAATCAAAACTCAAGAGCTCATGGACAGAAAATATCCCTTCAAGGGGAGCTGGGCATTTTCCATAAGCTGAACTTACTAGAAAGTAGGATGCCCTTCCCAGTAAGTGAGATGCAGTCTGAGCATTTCATATACAATGTGTTGCCTTTTGAGTCACGTTTCACTCTGCCTTCTTGTCCACTCACATACATACACACACACACAATGCATGCATCTGCTGGGGGTGTGTCTCCATCACAATGCAAGACTCCTGCTTTTGCTCACACATCTTCTGGTGGGGGCAGAAGGGCCTCGGATGAGTCAGCCTGTCCAGCCTTCCTCTCCTTGCATTCAAGCAGGGGTTTTTCTGGCACAGCCCTAAGACTACCTGACATTAAAGTCCCCACAATCACGGCCCCAAGTGTGGCCTGGAGGAGACTGGTAGCTCAGGCCTCTACTCTGTTGGTTGTTAAACTAAAGAGAATACAGAATAAAAGTAATATACTATCAACATTATATGAATCATCTTCTGTAAGTGGGTTAAGTACTACAAGAATGAAAAGGACACAGTTAGCCCTGCAGGGACATATATTTTATGACTCCACCCCTCACAGAGGGAAAACTCACTTTCAGAAAAACTGCTAGTAGAACTCTGAAGGAGGCCCCGATGTGATGGAAACTGCTCTGGCTTGTGCAGTGCACAACCTGAACATCCTTACAAAGCCACCCTGATAAAATACCTTCTTGACTAAAGAATATGACAGCTTGGACTAGCCCTTTACGGCTCCATTTTGGTCCCTCTTCAGCAAATTCGAGGAGCAAATCAGGCTTGGACTTTTCTGACTCTACTTTTGGATTCCTATTCCAGAGGTAGATGCTTTTCCTTATCTACTTTCATGCTGTTTCCAGTCTTTGCCTTCAAGCTGCACTCTGTCTCCAGTGGGGCGGAATCCCTTACCTCAGAGGAAAAAAATCTGGCCAGCAAACAACACAGACCATGTTAGTGAGACAGGAGAGAGGGAGGTGTTTGGGGTGGTGTGATACTTGTCTCTCTCTCTCTCTCTTTATTTTATTTATTTTTTTAAAGATTTATTTATTTGTTTATACAAGCACTGGGTACAGTCAGAAGCGCGGGAGGGTGAGAGAATCCACCAGAGCCAGAGTGGGGAGCAGAACAGGCAGAAGGACTGAAGTACACTGCTGAGGGGAGCAGCGGGCGGCAGGAGAGGTCTGCGCGCCATGTGGGACCCTCCTCCGGTGGCCGGGGAGCAGCCGAGGATCGAACCGGCGCTGTAGAGGCTGCGGGCAGCTTCGCAACCCAGCGCTCAACCACTGCGCCACCGGGGAGGCCCCTCTCTCTCTCTTTTTAAAAAGATTTATTTGTTTATGCATACAAGAGCTGGGGTACAGGCCAGAGATGTGGGGGTGGGAGAGCAGTGAGAGGAGGATTCACTAGAGACAGAGTGGGGAACAGAACAGGCAGATTGACTGAAATACACTGCTGAGGGGAGCAGTGGGCTGGACAGGAGAGGCCTGCTGTGCCATGTGGGTTGCTCCCTGGCTGGGGATCAAATTCGTGCTGCAGAGGCTGCGGATTGCTTCATAGTGTGATGTTTAACCCCTTGCGCCTCCAGGGAGGCCAGATACTTGTCTCTCTTTCTGCATACTTTTCATGTCTGATTTTGTCAGCTCTAAGGGAAAAAAAGCCTCTCTTCTTTTTTCTTTCTTTTTTCATCCCAACCTCACTGACCACAGGACACTTGGCTCCAAGGCAGGAGAGGAATCTGACCTTTGGCTTTGGGGCTCTGGTAGCTGCAGCACCTGAGTTTGTGTCAATAGCACAGGAGGAAGAGGAAGAGAGTCTCTGAAGGAAATCGTTCTAGTAAATTTTTTTTCTGATTTTGCATGAGAGTGCATTGAAATGAAGGGCAAAGGGCAGACTCTCTGGGTCCATGTTCTTCCATTGTAAAAGGAATTAGTTTAAACACATACCCACAAGAGATTAGATTACAACCATAACAACCTCTCAGTCGTCTGCTGGCTGCTTCTTAGGAAGTAGGACACCCAGTTATATTGCCTGGTGAACACTTTAAAGTGGTTCCCACAGATATTTCCCTTGTCCCAGGCCTGAAAAGGAGCTCCCATTGGGTAGAGAGTCTGAGCGAAGGAAATGCCTCTCACTTGCCCCCATTTTTCCACCCCGCGCTGACGGAGCCCGCCAGACACCCGACAGCTCTTTCCCGGCCCCTTGTCTCTAAATCCAGTCCGGCAAGCTCTTCCTAAAGTGGGTTTGACCTGTTGGAGGTGCCTGCTCTCTCCTGAAACATTCTCTTCCCTCAGCATCTGTGACCACAACGCCCTGTGCTTCTTTTGTGACTCTTGGGGACTCCTCCTTGGCCCATCCTTAAGTCTCGGGCATGTCCTTCTAATAGCTGACTTGGCTCTCCATGTAGGCAGCCCACAGGTATTCCAGTTAAATGCAACTGACCAGAAAGTCAAGATTTTGCCCTCACTCCAAATAACCCTCCACCCCAAAACTGTTCATCCTACACCTGTTACTCAGAGCTTGGAGCAATTCTCGACCATGGCCCTCAGGCAAGACCCACCTCCAGAATCCCCCTGGTCTCACCGCAAGCTGTTTCCCCTTCTCCAGAGTTCACAGACTCTATTTCGCTTTCCTCATTTCTTCTAATTCCAGAACTTTCCTATCTCAGTGTCATCAATGTATCTGGAATGTTCTAGATTCATGACCAGCTCCTGTTGAAATTTCAGCTCTCAGCTATTTTCTCTAGGAGTGTCTTCCCTGATGCGCAAACTAGTTTTAGATTCCTCTGCTATCAGCTACTCCTTCACAGCATCCTCGCCCCTGTCACTAGAAACATCTTTTTATCTTTGTGACCACAACTGCTTTCTAAGGAGGGCGGGACCTGAAACTGAAGGGCCCTAAGGAATCTGACTATGAAGGCTGCTGGGAATACAGAAAACCCAGCAAACACAGTGGTGGGAAGTAACAAGAGCAGCAATCCTGGATTCCTAGGCAATCCCAGACACAGGAGCAAAGGCAGATGGTGGGCTCTGTGCATGCTGTGGGCCAAAGTGGAGTTATTGGAAAATCTTTTGGAGAACAGAGTTGACATTTAAAATAAAATATGCTAGGACCAGATGACTTTACAAGTGAATTTTATCAAAACTTAAAAAAAAAAAAATGCCCATTTTACTCAAATTATTCCCAAAAACCTAAGAATACTTCCTAATACATTCTATGCTATTCACAATATCCTATTACCAAATTCAGTCAAAGATATCACAACAAAGAAAGATATAGACCAATATCTCTGATGAATATTGATGTGCAAACTCTCAATAAAATACTAGCAAATAGAATTCAACAATATACTCCAAGGATCATACAGCATGACCAAGTGCAATTTATTCCACAATGTTGGTTTACAATACTTAAAGAAATTCAATACATCAACAAAAGAAAGGATTAAAGACCATCTGATAATATCAATAGATGCAGAGAAAGCATTTGATAAAAATACAATCCTGTGTATGATGAAAACTCTCAACAAGATGGGAATATAAGGGGCCTACCTCAACATAATAAGAGCTACATAATCACAAATCTATAGTCAATATTATATTTGGTGCTGAAAAAAGCTTTTTCTTTAAGAGCAGGAATAAGGCAAGGATGGCCATTTCTCTTTAATTTTGTAGATAGGGCAATCAGAAAACAAAAGGACTCTAGATTGGAAAAGAAATGAAACTATCCCTATTCACAGACTATATATATTATATATAGAAAGCCCTCAAGACTCACCAAAAAAACACTGAAAACAATAAATGAATATGGTAAATTGGCAAGCTAGAAAATTAACACACAAAAATTAATTTAAGTTTTTATATACAAATTATACAATCATACAAACAATGAGGTCCTTCTTGGTGGCACGGGGGTTAAGACGCAACCTGTGAAGCTGTCCACAACCACTGCAGCATGAGTTCAATCCCCAGCCAGGGAGACACCCACATGGCGCAGCAGACCTCTCCTACCTCGCCCGCTGCTCCCCTCAGCAGTGTACTTCAGTCAATCTGTCTGTTCTGTTCCCCACTCTGTCTCTGGTGACTCCTCTCACCCCCGCCCCACACCTCTGGCCTGTACCCCAGTTCTTACATACATAAATAAATTAATCTTTAAAAAAATGAGCAAGAAAACAATTTAATTTATAACCATTTCAAAAATAATTAAAGACCTGGGGATTAACTTAACTGGAGAGGTGAAGTATTTATACAATGAAAACTAAACAACACTATTAAAACATATTTAACAAGACATAAAGAAATGAAAAAATATTCTATGTTCATGGAAGGGAGAATTAAAATAGTCAAAATGACTATTTTACCAAAAGAGATGTATAGATTTAATGTGATCCTCTTTTACATTCCAATGATAGTCTTAAAGGAAATAGAGTAAAAAAATATTAAAACATATATGGAACCATAAAAGGCCCTGAATAGCAATTCTGAGAAAAAAACAAGAAAAATGGAGGCACCATTTTACCTGATTTTAAACTATATTATAAAATAACAGTAATTTAACCAATATAGTATTTACATAAAAAATAAAAACTGACACACAGACCCATGGGACATTGGAATTGAAAGCCCAGAAATAAACCCATACATGTAAATACCTAATTTATGACACGACCATACATTGGAGAAAGGACATTTTGCTGAATAAGAAAAGAGCCATACATCACAGAATGGGTTAATATCCAGGGTATACAAAGAACTCATCCAACTTAACAACAAAAAACCAAGCTATCTAATTAAAAAAAAGATGGCAGATCTGGACAGACGTTTTTCCAAAGAGGATACACAGAAGGCTGACAGATATATGATAAAAATTCTTATCATCACTTTTAATAAGCGAGATGCAAGTCACAACGACAGTGAGAGACCATCTCACACCTGTGAGAATGCTGAAGAGGATGTGGAGCAAGAGGAATTAACTGTTGTTGGGAATGTAAACTCTTGCAGCCATTTTGGAAAGCCGCCTGAACTTGTCTTAAAAAAACTAAAAGAGGTAAATCCATGCGACCCGACAATCCCACTTTTAGGTAGTGATCCAAGGAACACATATCATTTTGGAAAATGCAGCATTATTTACAATAGTTAGGACACAGAAACAATCTAAGTGCCCAGAGACAGAAATTGGATCAAGAAGACGCGGTACATCCGCACCACGGGACACTATTCAGCTCTAAGGAAAGATGAAATGTTGCCATTTATAGCAAAATCAGGGGGAGCTTGAGGGGGTCATGCCAAGTAAAATTAGTCAGAAAAATAAAGATGAATATTAGATGGTTTCACATAATGATAACATAAGGAAACAAATTGGATGAAATGACAAAACAAAATATTGACTAGGAAACATGGGTTTTTGCGGTTCACAGGGATGAGAGAGGGAGAGGAAAAGGACATGAGGGAAGGTAGTGAGGGGAAAAAGAGCATGCGTTCCCCTCCTCCCCGCCCCCCCCCCCCCCCCCCCCCCCCCCCCCCCGCCCCAAGAAAAAAGAATGAATCTGTGAAAAGAGATGATACAGCTTTCCTCTAGGAGGGGGTCCTCACCCCAGTGTGGCCACTGGGAAATCCTGGCTGGCATACCCCTGGGAGCAGCAGATCCCGTGTGCGTGATGACCCTCAGAGAGTTTCAGACAAAAATTAAAAAAAAAAAAAATCAAATGAAACGTTTTATTTACCCGGGATGCTGTCACAGATCCACCTTTCTAAATGACAGCCTCCTCCCTAGATAACTCAACACCTGTTCAACGTGGATCTATGAAGAATTTCTCTTCTAAGGAGCAAAGAGCAGAGGGTAACGATACCCTCTGCAGGCGCAGACAAGACCAAGGCAGAATCCGGAGTGATTCTGACCACCCCCACCTGCGAGCGCAGCCTTGCAGAGGAAGTGCTGGCAAAGGGGAAAGTTGAGACCAGGGGTGGGGGTGGCCGGGCGTGAGGGGGGCAGGCGTGCCTCTGCCCCACAGTCCTCACTTCTCAGAATCCACTGGTCTCCAATCTCTAAACATCACCTTGGAAATTCCCCACCATCAATCATTAGCTGACAATCGAATGTTCTCAAAGAATAGAAATAAAGGCCCTTTTCAGCCAATCTGTGTTGTCAGGCTCCAGGGGACAGGACTAAATGCTGGGACGGGAGGAGAGGAACACGGCGCGGCCAGCGGTGGGACTTCAGACAGTCGGCCACCCTGTCTGCATCGGCCTTTGGACTCTCCCCAAATAATCACAGTCAATACTTACCTAATGAAGAAGAGCGTCTGCATTCTAATCAATCAGGAGAAAGACGAAAAAGCCCAGAGACTGACCTTCCTTCCGGGCGGGGCCTTTCCTGAGAAGGGTCAGAGAGAGAATCTTCTAGACATTGTGACCACCACCTGACCCAGCCACGTACTTTTGTTTTCTCTCTGTTTTTGATGCCCCCTTAACGTTGTAAAAACCATTCTGAACTTGGGGATGGAAGGAAGCCAGGCCAGGGATAGACTTTTTGAGGTGAGGCCTTGATTTGCCAATTCTCACTTTAGAGTAAGGGGGGAAAGTAATAAGGAGGCAGATGCACTTTCTGAGTGCTCCTGAGTGGGGAGGGGGAGAAGGGAGAGGAGGAGGGAGAGGCGGAAGAACAGCAGGAGCAGGAGGCACTAGCTGCTGGCAGGCCACTTCCTCAACTCGCTTAACAAGAAAAGGTGGAGCCCAGCTCAAGCTCAGCCACCTGCCTCTTGAGCCCAGCCCGTCGCTACTCTGTGGGGCCCCTGGTGTGCAAGCTCCTGGCCACAGGAGAGTGGGGGGCAGGCCTGGAAGATGGCCCTGTGGACTCCGCACCCACTCAGTGTGCAGAAGTGGGGTGCCCATCCCACACAGGTGTGCAGAGTCCCTCCAAATCCACAGCTCATGGGCTTTCTCCATCTTTGAAAAGTCACTCAAAATCATTTTTATTCCATTATGAGGTCAGAGTCCACAGGGTGAGTGTGGGGTCTGCACGGTGAATCAGGGTCCACTGCTCTGAGGTCGCTGCTGCCCTACAATTCTCTTACAAAGAAGGAACTGCAGGGAGCCGATGGGTCTGGGCAGGGGGTCTGCGGGCCTGGGCTCACCGCCATGGGCCCTCGCAGCGGCGGGTGCATACTGGGGCTACTCCCAGGCCCTCCCGCAGCTGCAGAGGCAGCGCATCCGCCGCGGGGTGGGAGAGCTCAGGGCTGCAGTCTCCCTCCGTGTGCTGGTCAGTGTGTGAGATATCGCAATGGTGGGGTTCGGGGTGCATAGGCCCTGCTTGACCCCCCCTCCAGGGCTCCCCCTCAGCAGTGGTGTCCTGACCTCCCTGGTCCTGTAGTCCAGGCACTGGCCCAGAAGCTAAGAGGCGCCATCCCTTCCCAGGCTTCCATGGGCCGCATTTGCCTCCTGGCTACATCTTTCCCTCCATCATGAGCAATTTCCAGAGCGGTCTCTCTCGCCCTGATCCCGCGACACACGCAGGGAGCTGGGTCCGGGGCGGGGGCCCAGCTGCTGGAGAGGGACTGGCAGTGCCCAGCAGGGGGAGCACACTGGGGAACCCAGTGCCTGGGGAGGTCAGTGCCCACTCCAGGAGCCTGTCAGTCACCC